CACTTGCAAGAGGCGGGGTGCCACTGAGCTTAAATCCTTGGCCCCAGTAGCTTTAATTTTATTTTCTTAATCTAATACAACACTTTGGACAATGGAACTTATCTAATGGAACTTAGATAAAGCTGCTGAGGTGCAGGCTGGGGCTTGTGATTCCAGGCAGGGAAGGAAAGGTTGTCTCACTGGGCTTCTTCTCTGACGAGCTTCTACCTTCCGAACTGTGTTGCATTTTCCCAGTCTGCTCATCAGAGCTTTCCTATCCAGAACAATGTCATTGGCTCTAAAACTGTGGTCTCCAGTACAACAACTGGGAACTTATGAGAAATATAAACTTGGGATTTATTCCAAACCAATGGAAAGAGAAACTCTGGAGTAGAGACCAGAGATTCTTTTTTTCTTTTGCCAAGACCTGCCATAGATTCTGATGCAGAAGGAACTTAGAGAATCACACATTCCCAATAACCACTCAGCAGGAAATTTCTGGCTTTGCAAATTCAAAGCAACTAGAAATTTGAATGTGGCAATAAATTAACTCTAATACATATACATTTCAATTTTGCATCAAATTATACTCCAGAACTCACCACTAAATTAAATGTTTTGATGTAATCAAGTAATTGTCATTAGGGATTGCGTACATTTGATTTCACAGAACAATACATTAACTCAAAGTGTGAAAGAGAGATTTTGACATAGTGGAAGACATGCCAACCTCAGAATTAAGAAATCCGGGTCTCATTCCTAGCTGAAGTGTGGGCTCTATACAGCCTTGGACAAGTAATGGAATTATCTGTGGCTCGCTGCTTCCTTCCAGTTGTAAAATGGGAACAGTATTTGCCCCACCAACTTACAGTCTTATTTTAAGTAGATAATCATATAAATTTTGAGACGATGTTTCAGAAATTCAAAGCGCTTTTCAGTATTAGAATTGTTACTATCATTATTTTATACATCATCATGTACGTTCCCATACCACTCATAATCATAAAATCTTAAAACTATTTTAGGGGAGAAAATACATGATGCTTGTCATTTCACGGTCATCACAAATGTCAAAATATACGCCTATTGAATGATATTTAAAAACATATTATTTAGAAATGTTTTAAAATTTTTATCTTCTCAAGTATATCTATTACACAATAGATCAGGTAAACAGCCCAACCAATTTAAGGAACTATTGTACAATCACATTTATGAGAAGTTTGCCTATGAAAACTTTTACTGCTAAAAAAGACTGTAAAAATGTATAAATCTCCTCTGTAAATAATGTTTTTAAAATCACAGCTAATTTGGGTATAATCTCCTATATGAGTTTCTACTTATTTTGCAAGTGTTTACTTATGATGGTTAAAATTGCACCTACATTGATTATATTAGACATCCAAGACATTTTATGAGGAAAGACTAAATAACTTCAATTTAAGATGAATACTGAATGTTCATCATTATTGAAACTTCCTATGTCAATAGATTCATACACTAAAGCTAAATTCTATGTCAAGGACTCATATCGTGATTATTTTGTTTGACTTACCCCCAGGAAAATATCCACTATCAACACCATCAGGGGGTCTAGAACCGTCCATAGTCCCATGGCAATGATTAACTTTGACAAGACGTCAGGGCAGGAGGCAAACAGCAGCCGACAGCCCCATCTGATCAGAACCAAAAGAAATATGGCTGTGTTCAGCATGAGAGGCCCCACTACAACCACAGCCAGCTCCTCTGAGATGCTAAGTGAAGACTCCAAGTAGCAAAGCTCAACTGTGTAGGGGTAAAGGTGGAATCTGTGAGGAAACCAGACATGAATCACACACTTGCAAATAGGAATTGTCACAATGCCAAGCCGACAAAACTGTCCAAAGGACTATGTGCTTTGTTTTCTTTTTTCAAAAGTTTAGGAAACGTAACACTTAAAAGAACCTGATATAAAACTTTAAAAAAAAAACTTGGCATGCAATTAAATGTCAGATATCTTCATCCTTTCCTGACCCTTCAGTAGCACCTGAACATTTCACTATCAAGGAAAAGAATTCAACCACATTTATCAGTCTTGTAAAAGGACATAGAAATTATTTTACCACAGAGGTATGTCCAACTGAGCTGCTGATCAGAGTAGTCTAAAGAGGGTGGTTCACAGTATTCGTCTGTAGGCTAAATGAAAAGTGTAGCAGTGGATTTTCTAATGAGTCGACCTCTAATAGCAATAAAATATAGCTATATGGTAAATGTACTAATTCTTCAGGGGTTTTAATGTAGCTGAGCTGATTCACTTTACCTTTAATTCCTCTCCCAGTAGACTCCCAAATACATGAACAAGATCACCATCACTAACAACCAAAATTTCATACTCCCTGGTCTAATGAGCTCTGTAGCTCAAGCAGCCTGACCTGGGATTTTACACTATCTTTCTGTGCAAAATGAGACTTCGTTCCACTGAGTTTTTTCTCCCCTGAATTTCATCCTGTGGAAAGCTGTTTCATAATTAATCCTGTCTGTACATTCTGTTTATCAGTAGCCTATTAAAAAGACCTTCATTTTTTTCTATTCCTTCACTTTGATTTCTAAGCAAGGGTTTTGCTTGTTTTTGCAGTACTAAGGATTGAATCCAGGGCCTTCACACTAAGCTACAGTTCCCCTTATTAAAAAAAAAAAAAGGATTTTTATTTTGAGGTGGTGTTGGCAAGTCGCTAATTGCCTAGGCTGGGCTTGAATGTGGTATCCTCCTGCCTCAGCATCCCAGAGAGCAGGATTACAGGTGTACACCATCACATCTGGCTCTAAATTCTATGATTTTGTTCACAGCTGTTGTGAATATCCAATAAAGAAATATATACATAGCCCCTGTCATAAAGGAAGCACAAAAAAATGCTCACAGTTGGTGGTGTTATTACCAAAGGCCACAGCTAAGATGTGACACAGAGCTACCATATGATTCCAGACTGAGGACCAAGACAACAGCCAGAAAAATACCTTGTGACAGATTAAGTCCTCTGCTGCTTAAGAAACTGGTCAGATCTGGCTGTCAAGATATTTCTTATAGTCTCATTTTTACTAACAACTAATAAAGATAAGGTTTCCTTTTCTATCAAGGAATAAATGAGCTAACAGTAAAAAGAACTAGCCCAAACATATCATGCTTATTTTTTCTGCTTTGGAAATCTTAAAAAAAATAAGAAAAAGAAAGAACAGAAATAAACAGAAAGAATAACATGAAATATCAGAATACCCCAGCAATATCCATGTAAAAATGCCCACCCAGAAAATGTATTTCTTAGTAAATGTAAATGTATGTATTCTAAAACAAATTCAGATATACGTGACTTACTATACAAAACTATGTATATGTACATATATATATATATATTCCTTTTTGTTAAGTCTTAGAATTTTTTGTAATCTCCTTAATTGAAAATAGAAACACATCTTTGTTTTTATCCATGCCATCTGCATTTGAGACAATGAATTTTACTCTTATTGCTATCTGTTTGTCTGTCTTCAGTGCCTTCAGAATTATGTTTATAGAGAGATAACCTTTAAAGTGTCATCTTTTCCCACAGGATAATGGCCCAGAAAGCTGCTTGGGCTTGAGTTCAGTAATTGTTTGAATTCAATCATTTTGTACAAGAAGCAATCTTTGCTTTTCTGAGTATAGGTAATAAATCAGACTTAGGTTACTTGTAAAATACCTTCAGCCTAAATCACTCTGATAAAATCAAAACACAATAAAACATTGGTGCTAAATTCCTTTTTGGGTTCTGCTCATATATTAGGACATATTTGAACCTGCTAAATTTTAAATAAATATTGATGGACCTGTTATGTATTTGTATATACAGAACCAACAGTAAAATGAGACTATAACTGTAATAGAAGTTCTTGCTCCCAGAGAAAGACATTTTTGTTTTTTCAAATCATACCTGCATTTTAGGTCTTCCAATAAGTGGACAGGAGAGCAAGTTTGCACATTCACTGTCCTACCCATACTACAAAATCACATTCTTTTGAATTTCAGAAGAATTACTCACTTTGTCACTGGAGCTGAGATGGCCTGGAGGAAAAGCCACTGGCCAAGGTAATGTAAGCAAAGCCTCAGGAAGCAGAGCGAAGCCAGCAGCAGGATGGTGCACCAGAAGCCCTGGCTTTGCCACTGAGCAAACTGCAACTCTGAAAATACCGACACCATCACAAAGTGGAGATGCTTGAAGAGTCCTCCAGATCCACTACTGCCAGCAATTGAAGAACTGCTACAAAGAAAGAATACAGGTATGTTCTGCATGTTCTGGGTCTCTGATAGCCCTCGGTGACTCATGTGCTGACGGTTTGGTCCCCAGCTGGTGGTGCTGTTGGATTGGGGATTCTGGGAGACAGGACTCAGCTGGAGGGTGCGCAGGTCACAGGGAAGTGCCCTGCAAGGGGGTATTGGGACACCAGCCCTAGCGCTCTTTCCTCCTCTCCCTCTCTCTGTGCTTCCATCTGTCCTGAGTTGAGCTGATCAGCTTTGTTCCACCTTGTGCTCCCTACCATGATGCTCTGCCCCACCATGGGCCCAAACAACAGAACCAGTAACCTTGTAAGGAAACTCTGCAACTGTTGGCAAGAATTAACCTTTCTCCTTGAAGTTGCTTTTCCCAGGTAATTTGTCACAGCAATGGAAAGCTGGCTGACACATATTCTGAGCTGTAGCAAAACTCCAAAAGTAACATTGTGATAATTATAATAAAGATAGTGTGGAAATAAACTGAATGAAATTATATTAAATATGTGATGATTGGAAATATTTGTTCTTTTTGTTACAGTGGATGAATAGAAGGGAATATAAACATGAATTAGGGAAAAGTAAATCAAAACCACAATGAGATTTGGCTACTTAAACAAAAACACAGAAAGTAACAATCACTGGCAAAGATGTGGAAAACTGGAATCACTGTGCCTTACTAACAGGAGTGTAAAATGATACAAGCTCTGTGACATGTACTCCTAAAATTAAAATATGCAATTACTGTGTAAATTAAGCAATGCCACAACTGGATATACACTAAAAGCAAGATATAGAATTGAGGGCCAGGGATTTAGCTCAGGGCTTCTGCCTCCTGTCTTGGGAGCTCAAGGTCCTGAGTTTGATCACTAGTACAAAAACAAAAAAAGATGTAGAATTTAAAGTAGGCTATAGAAATGGTATTTGTAAATATCAGTATTAGCCACAAGAGCCATCATATGAAAACAACATAAATGTCCATTGATGAATTAATGAAAAATAACATGGCATATGCATACAGTAGAATATTATTCAGCTTTTTTAAAAAAGGGAATTCTGACACATGTAATAACATGAATAAATCTTGATGATGTTATACTAAAAATAATCCAGCCACAAAATGACAAATATTGCATGACACTGCTTAATGAACTATCTATAGTAGGTACGGTCATAGCAACAGAAGGTTGAATGGTAGTTTCTTAGGGAGGAAAAATGGGGAATAGGTGGGAGTTGCTTTTTAATGGTACAGAGTTTCAGTGTTTCAAGATGATAATACATTTCTGGAGAATGGGTATATGGCAATGTGAATATACTTACCACTGACCTATACATGTAAAATGGTTAAGATGGTCAATTTTATGTTATATATACCTTATTATGATTTTAAATTTTTAATAAGAAATGGAAATAAATTTTAAACAACATATTTTTAGAAAATTTTTGAAAACTGAAATATATTCCCATTTACCTCACTTGCTCACAATATTGTCTCTTCATAAAGATTTGATTTATAGTTGGTTAAAGATCAACTATTTCATGTTTAAAGTTAAGGAGTTATTAACATACCATTAAATACACAGATAAGTATTCAAAAACCTAAGAATTATTTCATTCCCTAACATAATATAAATATAAATATAAAAGGATCACATGCAAATTTTTCTGATTTAACTCTTAATTACCACTCTATGATTAGCTTTGGGAGCAGGAGATGTTCTCATAGTTTCTAGAATAGTTTTTGTGGGAAAGAAGATGAAGATGCCATCTGAAAATAAGTGCACAATCTGAAATAATTTATCCAAGAATACGCACAGGTTATGGAGTTACGACAGTATAGAGAATAAAAGTCTGTGACCTGATGGCCTGGGCATAATTTTCTATGCCTAAGTTTTCTCATACAGAGAAAGAATACAGTAGCACTTCCCACATTCCAGGGTCAGCATGATTCTAGGTCAAAAGATGTAAAATACTTTGAATATCTCTCACAGAGGTATACCCATCACACAGTGAATACTCACCATGCTACATGACCTTTCTCTTCCAGTATTTAACAGTGCTTTACTTTTAAAAAGGATAGCTTTTCATTAAGTCCCCAAATGTAGAAAATCTGCATAACGATATAATTCTTTATAATTTTTCTTTTATTTTTAAAAGATCAATAAGCAGGTGAATGCAAATATGTGTTATCTAATTAAAGCAGTTAAGATCATGAGCGTCTATCATGTACCTAATTAAAGCAGGACTTGAACTTCATAGGAACTAACCTCCCAATTCATGGGTTGGCTTGTCCAATTCTGTTTTAGAGTAATTTTCTAGATTCATTAAGTTCTTCACCAAAAATAGTCTTAATGATAAACATACTTGCCAAAGGAGAAACTAGAACAAGAATAAGAAGTAGTTCAGTGGACTCAGTGACAAACCTCTGGAAGCAGAACACAGAAATAGAATTCACAGAAGTTTTGTGTGTGTGTGTGTGTGTGTGTATGTGCGTGTGCGTGTGTGTAATTGTTTTATTAGTACATGTTCACAGTATGTAATATTTACATTCATCTCAGGGAATATGTACGTGTACTCAACAATCTTGTTTCTTTTTATCCTCCTCTCCACTCACCTTCCTCCCTCCTTCTCTCAATTTTCTTTTCCTATTTTCACTATTACTGTTATTATTCTTTTTAGTTGCTGCTTGCATCATACAATGATACCATTCATTATGGGTAGTTGGTGCAGGTATGATGCATCTTAAATCTCCTTCTACGTCCTTTCTGAAGACTATCAAATATGATAGCAATTTTGGCAAAAAAAAGAAGCTAAATAATGGAAACAAGAGTCTGACGACAGTGACAGACAAGTGGAAGAGAACCCACATCCTTAACTGTAGTGTTTTGGTTTGCACAGGACTGAGTCATCAGCTGTGTCACTGAATTCCTTTGTGTTGTTCTTGTCTGTGTTTTGCTATGAAGATGTGGAGCCTCACCTAACTGAAACCGGTCTTTGTATTGAGCTCGCTTTCCAATTACACAAGTGGAGGAACAGTAAAACAAGAAACAGACCCCCCAGAGACTTTGGTTTATATACATGATGCAGTCGGGGAACTAAGTGTCCTACAGAAGAATCCCAGAACTCCTTACTATGTTTACCATCATGTGAAATGAAATCCAGAGCTGTCTACCCTGCTAACGCAAAATACCCTGTACATGATCTCTTTTTCAGATAATTATTCTGTCATTGTTTTGCCTCTTCAAAGGGAAGGAAAAATCAAATGCAGATTTGCCATTGTGTTGTTTGCAAAAAACTGGAAAATCTCAAATAATGAAAAACAGAAAAGACAGTAGCTTCTTTGACCTTTGGAAATTTCCACTGTTGTTTTCGTATCCATTGACATAAATGACTAAGGGACTGTGCTTATGCACAGAAACCACTATAAAGCCACGCTTTTGACATTAGTTTCACTAATAAAATGCTTCTAAGCCACTCTCATATACCCGTGTTTATTTATCAGACTTTTGGTTTAGAGCAAACAGTACTAAAATTTCACTATGTACCATTTATGACTAATTCAAAATATTCAATTTTTGCATTCCTCATCAACACATTTCAATATTTGCTTTACTGTGTTTATCATTGATAACTATAGCGGGTAGATTAAAAACTAGGAGAAAAATTAAATCAGTCCTTTGCAGTTTTAAATTCTACATGTTACAAAGTTAGAAAATAATAGAGGAATTAGTCAATTATCGACAATGCCCAAGAAAAGAAAGTATCAAAAAGTTCATTAATTGAAGAAAGCTACATTAGCCTTATACGCAGTGCCCATATGACAACAAATGTGGCAGTTCTTTTACTTTAGTAATTTTGAATTTGTATCTGAAATCTCAATGCGTTCTGATATGGAATTTTATCCAGATCTATCTCTCCATAAGCCATTCTTGAAATATATTTCATTCAAAACCAATTCTGCTCCATGTTTTAAAACTGTCTTCAAAGAGGGCACCTTTGTTATTACTGTAAACATGCAAGTCACATTATAAAATGCACTGGCACTACAGAATATCTTTAACCACATTTCAATCGTTCTCTCTCCTCCTGTAATCTTTCTTGGTTATGTACAAAGAGTATGACCATCAAAAGGATAATAAATGGCCTCTGCCACTGAGGTGTGTAATACGCATAGTGGGAATTGATTTGTTGGTTATGAGGGAAGCCATAGAGCACACAGATCACTGCAAAATCACATTGAAGCCAGCAGCTAGTCCTCAGTGCATGCAGACGGCTCCTCTATCACTCACCGGGTGAGCTGCCAGAGGGTGAGAAGAACGGGAAGGTCATCCCGTATTCAGCTATTAAATGAAACCTATTTCTCTGAACTTCAGCCACCTTTCACATGACACACATAGATCCCACATGCACGTCCAGTCCTTATAGTGACCTGAAATCAAACAAAATTTCTATAATCCATCAGAATAATAATAATAACTATAATAACATCTAAAAAGACCAAAATTGCTTTGGAAAAAAAAACATGGAAGGCACTCTTAAACTCTTTTCTGTAATGAATAGAAATCCTAAGACTTTGTATACAATAAAGACTTGTTACCCATCAATTGTGCACAGTAACACTTCTTTAAAACTCACTACCAATAGATGGCACTAAAATTTCCATATTCTCTTCTTCTGGCATAACCAAATGTATTCCAGATGTATCATTTTTTAAAATTAAGGTATA